GAGCCTGCTTCTCCCTCTCCCACTCCCCTGCTTGTGTTCCCTCTCTCGCTGTGTCTCTCCCTGTAAAATAAATAAATAAAATCTTAAAAAAAAAATCTTTAAAAATAAAACATAAAAGACTTGTCTGTTTAGTTTCTTAGGTATTACAGGAAATGTGCCAAATATAAAAGTATCTTTGGGAGATGTAGCCATAATGTATTAGAACTATCTGTACAGAAAGATACTCACGCAAGTTCCATTCTGTGCCTAGTTTTTCACATGACTGCCCATAAAGTGGCCAATGCTGGTGGTGAAAGACATAGATATAAGCCCACTAAGAAAGTCTATCTCTTTGGTCAGAGATTAGCACACAGTAATGACTTATCCGGGGCTGCATTTAAATGAGAAATCCTGTATATTCTATTTCACTCTTCTTCTGGAGAGCTATCTTGACTTCATTGCTTAAGAAATTTTTAATCAATCAATATTATGTTGTGAAATTATTTAATAAGATGGGGGATGAGGTCAGAGCCTTAAATGCAATACAAGCTATACATGTGGTAAACGAGGTACTTCCTAGAAGTAAGTATGAGGTAATGGGAATGAAGTGGGAGAGGTGGGCAAGGCAGATTCGCACTGAATTCTTTGATCCACGGTATTTCAGAAACTAAGGTAGTTTCATAATCTCTCATCTGCTCTGGAAATAAAGCACTAATACGATCTCCCTCCTAAACTGGTCAACTGCATAAAAGCCCGGAAATTAAAGAAGTAAATCCTGAATTTTCCTCTCCTGAAAAATTTCTAATAGACTTCATCATATGCTGTTTAGCCAAAGGTTAAATCTCTTATAAACCAAAACTGCAAGGTTATATGTACCCTGCACATGTTATCTTGTACATTTTTGCAAGGTACTTTGAAACAGTTTTCCCATCAATCAATAACATATTCTTACAAATCCTGCTGGACATGCGGCTCACACAAATATCAAGTTGCACAGAACAGGAAGTGAGGTGTACCACAGGACAGCTAATTTTCAGTCTGTCATAAATTCAACTTGGGTTAAACACACCAAATCAAGGATAATGGCTTCTTTATCATCCAAGCTGTTAGCTAAAAAGATTCCATAAAGCATTATGAACACTAACTACTCTAAGTAGAGATATTTTTAAAAGCACATCAGGCTGAGAACTGAAATAGAACCACCTCGAAGCTTTTGGCAATTTGATCACATTATTGCCTAATAATTAGCCTTTCATTCTTTTTGAAAAACTAAATTACCTAGCCGTGAAGCAAGTTCAAATAAGTCCCATACCTACATTAATATCTGGATGTAAAAAATAATGCATATATTAATATTTCCATAAAAAATAAGTATATGTTGGTGATGAATGTATCTAAAGTCAGGGCCAGAGAAAACCTTTAAGGACATAATGACCTTGGCAATCCCTCTCTTTTGTTTTG